TGTTTTACATATTTAGGTGCTCCTATATTGGGTAAGTACATGTTTACTAGGGTTATATCCTCTTGCTGGATTGATCCCTTTATTATTATATAGTGTCCTTCTTTGTCTCTTCCTATAGCCTTGGTTTTAAAGTCTATTTTCTTGGATGTAAGTACTACTACTACAACTTTTTTTTCCTTTCCATTTGCATGAAATATCTCTTTCCATCACTTTACTTTTAGTCTGTGTCTATCTTTTGATCTGAGATGTCTCTCTTGGAGGCAGTATATATATATATATATATATATATATATATATATATGTCTTGTTTTCTTATCCATTGTGCTACACTATGTTTTTTTTTATTGGAGCATTTAAGCCATCTGCATTTAAGGTGATTATTGATAGATATGTATTTAGTGTTATTTTATTGTTAGACTATTTTTCTCTTTTCTCTCTCTCTCTCTCTCTCTCTTTATTCTTCTTAAATCAAGCCCTTAAACATTTGTTGCAGTACTGGTTGGTGTTAACAAACTCTTTGTCTTCCAAATTACTGATTCAATCCTTTGGTTCATCTAACCCACTGTTTATCCCTTCTACTATATTATTTACTTAAGCGATTGCATTCTTTATTTCTGAATAGTGCTTTTTTATGGTTTCAATGTCATTTTTCATGCTGTTGAATATCCATATAATCATTACTCTAAACTTTCTATCTGATAAATTGCTTGCCTCTATTTCATCTAGCTCTTCTTCTGGAGAATAGTCTTGTTCTTTCATTGGGGGTCTGTTTCTTTGTCTTCCCATTTTGGCTGCTTTTCTGTATTTGTTTCTATGTATTAGGTAGATCTGCAAAGACTCTGGTATAGGCCTTTGTCAGATGCTACTTGTGACACCTGTTTGGAGCTATCAGCAATCCACAGCATGAGGCTCCATCTGCTTGGCTTATTTGTGTGCAGAAAGAACTGGGCTGTGCACCAAGACAGGCTTTTACCAGTACCAGGCCCAGGGGAATGTCAACTGAAGTCTCAGACCTCCCAGAGATCTGTATTATTTGTTAAACTAATTGATGATATAGCCTCAACTATACTCGGCAGCCTGGCTTAAGCTCCACAGGGCAGGGTAGAGTAATTCCTGTGGGTGGAGCTATTGTTTCCTCTCAGGCTGATGCTGTTTGGAGGGGAGTGCTTTAACTGAGAAAGATGACTTCTGCAGTATGGGGGATGACTTAGCACAGGGATCCTGGCGGCTGTTCCTTTAGTTCTCTCCCCAGAGCCACCAACCCCAGACTCTACTCACGGGTCTGTAGTCCACTCTGTCCTTCCTCTGCTAAAACCTGGGGTAAGTGGCTACAAGTGAAATTTTGTGCATTGGCTTTTTAATAGGCTCTTTGTCTCCAGCTATAATTCTCTTGTGGACAGAAACTTTGCTGCTTTTCACAGCTGGATAGTACCTGGGTTCCTTTCCTGGCTCTGGTGCTACAGGATGGGGAGTCCAACTTGGGGTTCAGATGTCACACTTCTCAGGGGGAACCCCCTGGCTGCTGAATATTCCTCCAGCACTTCAGCTGCCACCCATGGGAACCCTGTCTTCTCATGCTTCCTTTGCACATTGAGGTGGAGTGGTTTCTTTTGTCTGTCTTTGATTGTAAGGCTTCTTTCCAGCTAACGGTCAGTTGGTTATTCAGAATGATTTTTCTACAATTTAGTTGTTCCAGATTGGTCTTGGGAGAAGGTGAGTGTAGCTTCCAATCATTCCTCTGCCATGACAGGTCTCTCGTATAAGGTTACTTTCTTAAAAGTAACCTTAGGGAATAGAGGTATACACTAAATGGCCTGTTAAAGTAAAAAGAACTAGAGAGCTAGTGTTTGGGCAAAATGCATTTAAATAAATATATCAAAAGAGAAGAAAGACAGCAATAGAACTTAAAATAGAGGTCTGTATAAAAAAAGAGGTATAACCCACATCTTACAGCAAACATCCCAGGAAACTCTATATAAAGTACACAGCCCAGGATGCTAGTTGGCTACATCAGACTTCCAAGAATCCATTTTATTGTCTCTAGTAGCAATCCAGGAAGCTAAACAATAACTTCTGTAAGTTAGCTAAAAATGGCCAGGACTTGTTTAATAATTAGGAGCTTCATTATTTTTTGTCTCTGCTTTCAAAGTAGAACAAATCAGAGAGAATCAATTATGTACCCCTTACCAATCACATAGGATGCCTGCTTCTAGTCTGCCCACTTACAGTTTCTCAGGACAACAGCCTCCAATCAGGGCACACCCAAAGCTTTCTCTTTTCTCCTATAAAGTTTTCTCATTCCTCTGTCTGCTCTGAATCTCATCCAAAGTACAAGTGATGGTGGCTGATGCCTTTGCTTTAGCAATCTCTGAATACATAAACATAGCTTTTCTTACTTGGTTGGTCTTCAACCAAATATATTTGAGTGATTCAAAAAAGAGAGTAATGTGTATTTATTTGTCTGGCACATCAGATACTCTGCAATTTTTTAAAGTCAATTGCCTAATGATCATCTTAGATAAATACTATTGTGTTTATTTTACAAGTGAGGAAGCAAAGTCATAAAGTTATTCAGAACATTACCTAACACATCCTTGCTAGTGAACAGTCTACTTTTAAAAACTGAATTATTTTTTGATATCAAAGCCCAACAAATATTCTTAACAAACATTTGTTTAAAGTCCACTTTAAGATATTCTTTGCCACCTAAGTTGTCCATAGAACTTAAAATCGAAGTAACTTATTTCTAATTATAACATTAACATAATGTAGCTTTATGGAAATAAAGGGGGTGGAAGCATTTGTGCATATTAGAAATTGCCATTAAAGTTACATAAAACCAGAATAAAAAAAAAAGGATAACACAGATGACTAGTAAAGCTTTAATCATCTTTAATGCCCGAAAATAAAAGTGATATTTAAGCACAGTTCCTTCAACAACACCAGAAAAAGTAAAAATAATTCTATTCTACAGATAACTTTGTTTAAATAATAATGTAGAACAAGAAATCATGGCTAAAGGCCAAATAATTCCTATTGTCTCATTAATTCCATTTAGGTAACTCAAATCTTTATTTAAAAATCCTTTCATTTAGTATAAATTAAATGAATAGAAAGTTGGAATTTGAGAATTCTTATGAGAAGAGAAAGATTCAAGCTTTTGGACTTTGTAGCATTTCATGTTAAGGAGGGAAGATAATGTTCTTGAAATTTCCCCCTTTTAATAAAAAGTTATAAATTTGTCATATGAAATTATAAATACCAAAGGTATAATTTGGCCATTTTATAAATGTATAGAGGAAAAGAAAGGTGCCTCTTTTGTGTATCTTAAAGACAGCTCCCTCTCATAAACAAAGACTGATGATCAATATGTCACTTAATTTAATTTTTAATATTTTAGTCATGTTTCCTATCAACTGAGATGCAATTCATATTTTTCATAAAAAAAGAAAAATTAATTGAAGTCCCCATCTTTGCCTCTTCTATACCAGAAATTCTAAATGGTGGTAGATGGGCAGAAGGTATGGGGCAGGTTGGGGATGTGTTTTATAAGAAAATCACCTGAGAAATTTCCCAAATAATAAATATGTTGAGGTTGATGCCAAGAAAAGCCACCATATCAAGAAAATAACACATTCTGATAATTCTGAAGCAATAGTATGTGTTGTAGAAACAGACAGCATACAGTAAAATCCTGCTCTTACACTGGTCCACTGTGTGACACTAGTCAAATCACTAAACTTTGTGACAAGTTTCCTTATTTTAGAATGAGAACAATAATAATAGAATCTCATGGGATTGCTGTAAGGTTCAAGGCTTAGGAGATGATACGTGTGTGTTGACACATAGGAAACATTATGTATTACTTTATTATTGCTGTCAATCTGAAATAAAAAAGAAAACAACCTTTTATTTCAGAAAATGAGCAGCAAGTGGACCATTTTATTATGCCCATATTCAAGACAAATAGGGTGCTGCTTGTTCTACAAGCTATGATGTTCTTAGATGGAAGAGAAGACTAAGAAAAAAGATTGACTCATTAGAAAAAAAAAAGCATCATGTTTATCCCTTATCAAAGCAAAAAATTGAATCCAGGAATTATTTTAAACTGTTTCTCTGTGCTCCATAATGGCCAATTCTTGATAACAACACTTATGCTGTACCTTGTTTCTAAACCTGTGTGACTCTTCCATGTGCCGGGGCACTCTTGAAGGCATGAGGTATGTTGAAATTCTTTAAATGTCTAGTGTCTACTAATGTCTCACATGAAGAGATATTCAATACATATCGAACGAATTATGAATGAATTTTTTTAAGTAAGAGATAAATGAACACATGGATTGACAGTTTTCGGAGAATGGTATTCATATAGAGTGGATTTCATATAAAAAATGAAATGTAAATTCTTTTCAGAAGCCTCTTTCAAAACAAACCTACATTTTCAAATGATTTAGCAATCCTCTTAATGTAATTAATTTAATTCAAAGGATATCCCAGTTATCTGTTTCTGCTTCAACTTGACAAAATAATGTCTCTTAAGTAAGTCGAAGAGAGTTGCATTGGATTATTTCTTGACTAATAAATCATATCATCTTATTAAGAAAGAAAAGTAAAAAGCCTATCTTGATAAGAAATTTCACTTATTTATAATTGTGCAGTTTTATATTCATTTGAATTGGTCTCAGATTTTTTTTAAATCTGAAGATTTAACAAATGAAAAGATTTGTTTTAATCACATACGATAAAGAAAATGTTCCTTCTTTTGAAATCTTAAAAATGTTTCAGAATGAGTATTATATTGCTTTTGCTTTTCTTCCAGAATGAACTATTTATGGCAAATTTGGCATATCTTTTGTTGGTATGGTATATGGTTTGTTTATAAGGTAGCAATCACACTGATTTGAGCTGAATAGCTGTTTTGTGATTTTAAGCCTTAAATATATTTATATAATTTCATTTCTGAGTAATAATATGGTACTTCGTATAAAATTTCTTCTTACCCTATTCGAGTCAATTCTTGCTCTGGAAGTGTAGATTGGGGGTGGGATGTTGAAAGCCTGAGGGACCAGGTATTCCTCCGCATCCATCATATCTTCTAAATCTTCTTCATCCAAGAGATTCTGAAAGAACTTGCTGTCGTTGGGACTGGGAAGCTTCATACGATCATCACCCTAAAGGATCACCCATTGGAAACACAAAAATTGATTCTTCCCTTTATTGCAAATATGTGGACTTTGCAGTAAATTTATGTAGTATCAAAACAAATGTTTGAAAATGCATGCATTCATTTAAAAAATAATTTTTAGCATAACTTCTAGCCATAAAGAAGCCTATAATATGCTCAGATATGAAAAAGTAAAAGAAATTTAATGCAAAAAAGAATATGATAAATGCCATTAGACATTAGCACAGAAAGCTGTTTCGAGGGAGACAAGTTCATTTAAGACCTGAGAATAATGGTAGGCTGCATTGCCAACATAGTGTTTGGGGTTTGACTTTAAGAATAAATAATAAAGGGAAATTGACTTACCAATATTTATTTTGAGGGGTTTGTGTGATAGTGGAGAGTTATTAGGATGGATGGGCTCTACGGTTTGACTTATAGCAGAATACTGTTGAAGTGACAGTATTCAAAATCACAGCACAGTGGCACACAGCATAAATAGGAGTGGGACAAGTACCCAAACCCTTGTTTTACTCTTTCTTACCTCATCTATTTCATATATATATATATTTATAAAATATATATTATATATAAACATTTTTTCAAAGTTATGTAATTTTTTAGTAACGAGTTTGGTTATAAAAGTTAATTTGAGATAACTTGTTGGAAATCATTATCTTGTAATATGTAGGTTTTGTCTTCATTTCAGGCTATAGATATGAAGATAAATACTACCTTGTTTTACTTGGTATAAGCCAAGGTCTATTTGCTTACTTTTTAGGTAAAAGTCATCATAGAGAAATATGTTATGATTTTTAAATTATCTAATTCATTTTTTCCTATTTTTAAACATAAAACCTTTTGGCCTATTATTTCATTTATATGTATATCAATTCATTTGAATCTGAGTTATGCTTATATACTGCATCTCTCCCAAAACAAAACAAAACATATAAAAATATTTCTTATAAAACCAAATATCAATATATTAGGCCTTTTAATTCATTGTCTTCAATCATGGACAAGATTAAAATAAAAATCCACTTTCTGAAAGTAGGAGATTAGAAGAATGAACATGACTTCTACATGAGGCTAAAGTCTTTTTATGTGTATGGATAATCATAATTATCGATAACAGAGGCACTTGAATACTAAGGGAAAGTCCTTAGAAGTGCTCTGATATCAAATAAAAGGCTCTCTTCCATAGATCATTCCACATGATATTCTTCTTTGTTAACCTCTTTGTGAGTGGTGATTTTCACAGTTCCAAAATCCAGATATTATTCATATTTTATAGTGAGTTTGACATTGAGACATTCTTCAAAATCTAAGTGAAATGTACTAACCTGAATAACTAAATATCGTTGAGGGTCTCGAGCCATCCTGGAAAATTCAGCAGCCAGTTCCTTAAACTTAGGTCTACTGTCAGCATCAATCATCCAACCTACAAATTCACATGAAACAAAAGTCACTATATTTATAATTAGGGAGAAATCATATGTGAAATTTATGGAAATATAGGCTAAAATATTTTAATAATAATGATCTGAAAAACAAAGAAAATTAATGTAACAATAGAATAGTCTAGGGTTCTACTTCAGTTTGTTGACGCTCATAACTAAATGTAATACACCAGAATAACAGAAACTTTTATTTTCTTGATCTAACTTAAAATTAACTTTTCTTTCTAGAAAATATAACCTAGCCTATCTCTATTAACTTACAGAATTTGAGATATTTTTTCTTAAGTATGGAGAAAATTCTCTTTGAAATCTTTTATTTGATGGTTATAGAAAAAGTGATTAGAATATAATTTATAATTTTGTATCAGGAGTGACATGGAATAAAAGCTACGTTTACAATGTGGTACTATGGCACAAGAAGGAAAAAGGATTGGAAGCAGCTTTTCAGTGGTACTTTTTTTCCCATTGAGGGAAAAAAAAATAATTAATGCAAAGTGGTAATGTTTGTTCAGCAATAGTCATTAGCTTATTTTAGTACTAGTCTTTTCAGAATAAGAATACTCTCAGCAATTTTCGAGGTATGTATTATTATTTAGCTGGGATTCTAGATAAAGTAGGTTTTATCTCCCCAGGCTCTGTTTAGCTGATGAGATGATAAAGAATAAAAGCACCAAGCCTTCCTCGATTTTCTTACCAAATGACTTTTTTCTTAGACATTAAAACTTTTAGAAGTAAGGTAAAACTCTTTATTAGGGAAAATGTTTTCCTAATCTCTCATTATTTCATCAGGGTGTCTCAATGAAATATCTAAATCATCCCTTATGCTAGTTACAGGTTCAAATTATAAAATGCGTGCATGTTTTTAAGCATTCTTCCAGAGATGACTATTGACCAATGCTTGACCCAACAAAGCTTATAGCTCATTTCTCTTGGTTCTAACAGTTCAATTTTTATTCTTGTGTTGGGAAGTCTTTGAGTGTTATTTCATATATTATTAATTACACCTGATTTTTTTTCTCTCCTAACAAAGTTGAAATGCTCTATATTATAAATGTATCCACACGTACACACACAATTAAAATGTTCCTGATGTTAAGATGCTAATCAGAAGACAGGTGTTTCTGAAAACATTGGAACCAAAAAAAAGGTTAACTTCACAGCGAGGAATGTTTCTTTCCAAGTATATATTGAGTAAATAGAACTACACTTTGAGAAAAGGGCATGTTGACCTGAACTGGAAAGCACATTTTTTATTTCTTCCCTCACTGTCAGAATGTATTACACATGTCATGAATATAAATCTATGTAGACCTGGGTCCAAAGTCTCTTATTAATAAGATGCTTATTCACCTTCACCAGTTTGTTTCTTTGCTAATCCTGTGTAAATCAAAAGAGGAAAAACCCAGATTACACAAGAAAGATTGCTGAATGTTAATCTCACTTAAATTAAGTCAGAAACTCCAGAGACTCTTCTAATTCTATTTAAATTAAGAGCCTAGGCTTCCAAAACACATGTCTGGGGCATACAAAAGGAGAAAAAAAAACTAAGAGAGATGTAAACAAATGATCAAATTGAAAAAAATAAACATTGGTAATCTTTTTAGTTCAGTGTAGATTCATGTCTTCCCACTTCCCATTGTGCCCTGATAATTAACTGTTGTCTAAAAACCTATCCTACTTAATTGATTTTTGAGCTATCCGTTTCAAGCTTTCTTTCTTCACATACAGATCATTTATTTAGGCTGCTATTTTTCTATAAAAATTAATATTATGATTATGATTAATATCTCTTTATGAAAGACCATTTGATTATCATGGAAATGATAAGAATCAAAATGAAATAAATAAGAGTTGAAAAGTAATATAATTTGACTTCATAGCACAGGAGCAAAGTATTGCTTCATTTTAACAATAACAACAACAAAGGTATTAACACTTTACTTCTGTAATTACTTTTAAACTTTTATATTTTTCAATATACACAAACATTGTGCAAGTAGATTAATCTGTACTACTGCTTTATTAAGAATGATGACGGTGACAATAAACTTATTTTGCAATCTTACATTTGACCATGACCATGTAAACGTCGATAGTGCAGATAGGAGGCTGAGGCAAACGTTCTCCTTTCTCTAATAAATCAGGGATTTCTCGAGTTGGAATTCCATCGTAGGGTTTCCCTCCAAAGGTCATCAGTTCCCATATAGTAACTCCTAAATTGGAGAGCAAATTCTTACATCAGCATATTAACAACATCATTTGAACAACTCGGTATACACCGGTGGCAAAGGAATGCTCCCTAAAGGGCTATCAAAAATACTTTAAAGAAAAGTTCTGATTCCTTTTTCCATTTTGAGGTGTGCAATGAGAAAATCTTTGGGGGAAATTAAATTCTTTTATAATTGTCTTGAGATTTTTAACAGGTAGCAGAGACAATTCAGAGTGGATATCAGAATGAAAAGTCTGTTCCTCCTTTATAACTTGTAAGTAATGCTATTGTTTGCTGACCTAAGTTCCACTACATCACATTAGAGGTCATAAAACAATTTATTTACAATATACATATGTATTCAGTACCAAGTAAATATGATTGCAGGTAAAATCTGTTACTGACTAAATTCAAGATTGACATCTTTGCTAGTAAAGTCATAAAAACTAAGCTGTGCTTCCTGAATGAATGCTATCTTGCATTATGGTAAGTAATTGCAGCTTTCTTTTTAACAAGCAGAAAGAGGACAAGTACAAGAAAAACACATTCATTTCTTTAGCATATAGGAGAACCTGAGTGAGGAGTGATCCTTATGTAAGATATAATACATGTAAAGTGCGATCACAAAATTGAAAGGAATCAATAATATTTTTTCTTAGATAATGAAGTCACTTTCTTGAATCACTAGAACATTGATTTTCTTGATAAAAGCAAACACCTGAAATATTAGCATGCAAGCTTTGATAATAATTATTTTAATTTGAGCAATAATATGTACAATACAGATCTCCTATGATGATCTAATAACTATATAATTAAGAAGGTATGGTTTTCTGAGTAGAAAAATTATAAGTTCAAAAATAGCTCTCTGGACACAATAGTACTACCAAGTGAAGTTTCATTGATGTAAATCTCCAGGTAACTTTTAATGTAAAATCTATTAATTAGGGCTATATTTTCTTTTCTGCTGCCATCTTGGATAAATTATTTATTCAAACTGAAATCTTTTTTAAGCTCATAACACTTATGTGAATGAAAAAAGGTATTCAATGGAAAGTAACCTCACAGGGTGATCTGCTCATAGAGTCCAAATTAGGCAGGTCATGTCCCGGGTATATAACTTCTTGGTAAAAAGCTTATCTTCATTTTAGGCAAACCCTGTCCATTGATCTTATTCATCTAAGTTAACACACCTTTGAAATAAGGCATAAACACCCTCAAGCAAGTACATAATCTTATTTTTAGAAGTTATTCAAAGTTATCTTTCAGTAGATTGCCACATTAATTCAAAGAAACATAAGTAGAAAAAAATGACAAACTGATATTGAAATCTATCATAATAAATATAATATATGCATTCATCTATATCATCTACTATATAAATTCATATCATATATAAATATATACCACATAATACATAAATTTATCACATATATTAGACAATAAACTTTTTTTTTATTTAACACTGACAGTTTAACAAATAAGTTTGTATGCATCTAAATCTCAAACATACATTTTCTACTTTTAAGCTGAGTAGACTACACGAGGCCCCCATGGAAGTTTTAATACCTCCTATGGCATATATGGGGCAGGGGAGACAACCACATTATAGAAATGTCTAATTTTTTAAGATTATTTATGCTTTTCTACAAAAGATGTGTAAATTCTCTAGTGATTGAATGGTTTAATTCTCCTCTCTGAAAATTAAAAGATAAAAACTAAGCTTAAAATTCAGTAAATCTTACCATGTTTTAAATTCTACTACTACCTTTTTATTTAAATAGGCAATGTGTTTTTAATTTGTAAAAAATACTAGTTTTTATGGTGTGTTTGTTCTTAGAAAAGGTGTTGATTCTTACTAATTAACCTGGATTAACCTGAGTGAGCTTAAGTTGTAAAAAGTAAGACATATGCTAAGTAGCTCGGCTCAACAATTCAGTTTAACACAATTAAATAAATGTTCTAAATTTAAAAACCACTCTTTTCCATTTTATATTATTTGCTCTGTAATATATCCATTTACAACAAAAGTATTTGGTAAATTAAAATCAAAGCTGCAATTAGCAATCTTCTCTTTCATCTCTCCCCTCACATTTGTTACTTTACCTAATTGCTTTCAATAACTGTTCTTTGTTGTAACAATAATCTCTATCTTCTTAATATAGAACAGAAATTCCCATAACAAAAAAAATCTCTGTTAAAAAACATTTATTGTGTTTAGAGTTATGTTTTCAAAGAGTTGTTAAAAGTTAAGTCCTTGAGATTCTATGAAATTCTACCAAACTAAAATTGGTTGGGTTTCCTTTTTTCTGTCAAAGTGATCAAACTAAATGTTATGGTCAACAAACTCAACGCCAAGATGTTAATATATCACACTTTAGGGAACCAAGAAATAACAAAAAAGGCAGGTAACAATACTATCAGAATTTTTTTCTTTTTTCTTAATGGAAGATGAAAGAGTTAATTCCTTTAGAAAGAAAGGCTTATAAATAGGTATTTACAATACAATAAAATAATTTGGTTTAAGGTAATTTACATGAGTCTACTATATTTATTTTTGCCTTAAATGCTTTAATTCAAAGGGAAAATTTATTTACCATAGCTCCAAACATCACTCTGATGGGTGAATTTCCTATAGTGTATACACTCCAGAGCCATCCATTTAATTGGCATCTACAGAGAAAAAAGTTAAAGTTTTATAGTTATATAAAAATGCATTTTCTTCCTAAATGTGAGTCTTGCTTCAATTATATTTTTCATTGTATGTTTAGAAAATATGAATATGTTGTTTTTATATACAGGTAACAAATATACTGAAATTTGTAAAATTCTTAAAATGAATTAACTAAAGATACATTTATTTTTAAAAAACACCATAAACAGTGAAATGCATAATTAAAAAAGTATCACTTTTTATAGTTCTCAATTTATGTAGTAATTAAATGACTAGTTAAAATTCTAAATATCAACACATGTACTTTTAAAAATGAGGTCATATTACATTTTCACCCTAAAGGAGATTCTTTGAATTCTCAGTTATCCCTTTTCACCCTCAGGGAAATGTCAGGACACCAGAAAATTGACTCTTTTCACACTAGCCCCCTTTCCTCTTCTCTCTTATGATTTGGTCACTAAAACACCTAAAGTAATGAATTTCAAAGTCAGCCTTGCTTTGTCCATCAGCCCTAAACGTTCTCCCTCATCTTGGTTAGCCAGTATTGAAAGTATGTACCATTTTCAATATAAGAATTATAGAAAAGAATGTGTGAGAATCAGTACACATCCATCCTCACTACAGGAAAACAACCCAACTTACACTGCTGATGACGGGTCAGCAGAATGAGTGTTCAACTCTGAAGAGCAGCATTATAGAGCTGGAAATATAATTAGATTCTATGGAATAAAGACAAACACTTCCACTTTGCAGTTGAAAGCTTAAACCTAAATAGGCCTTTGAAATCATGAGGTTGGTTGCTCACCAAGGTGATACCAAGGTAACTCTACAGCAGAATCATGGTATTCACTGAAAGGGAACAGAAGACACATTGAAAATAATTTCCCTATGGGCAAGGAGTTAGCTGACTTTATGGCCTACGGACATTGTGTTAAAGAAGTAAGCTTAAATCACAGGTGGCTTGATAAAGACTTAATGGTTACTAGGCATTTAAAGCTATAATGAATCTTGCTTTAGACAAATCTTACAGCTGTATGTTCTAAAGACAAGTGAAGTCATGTGATTTATAGACTTCTCCTCCAGTGCACTCTGGTAGTGAATTTCAGACCTGTGGTCTCAAACTGCTGCAGTTGGGCAGTAAATAGGCAAATTAAGCTGATAAAATCAAGTACAAGCCAGGTAATATTACAAAACTAAAGTTTTTTTTTTTAAAAAAATACTTTTTTTTTGTTCTCAGGTTTTGTGATAATATTTAAATATACATGATTATAAAAGAATTTAATATAAAAATCAATGATAAATATTTGGAAGCTTATCATTACAAAATATTTATAATATATATTTGGATGGCCCATGGTGAATAAAGCACACAATAAACATTGCTTATATAGATAACTTTTTTTTTTTTTGGTTACCATTAGCTGTGGGTCACCAGAGGTTAAGGCTGCATGTGTTTATGCATTTGGCCTCTTCTGGTCTAAGTGTCCCCAGGTCAAGCTAGAGAGACCTCAACATGACTACACTGGTTGGTTAGCCAAGAATGACAAGCTAAATGTGGGTTACAGGGATAAAACAAGAGCTAAGCCATGAACACATGGTGGGTTAGAGAGGCACGAACATGATTGTCAAGCAGAGCCTGAGGCTGGAGAGTCAGAAAAATTAGGAAAAGAAAGACAAATAATTCAATTAAAAAATGGGCAAAGGACTTAAACAGACACCTCTCCAAGGAGGATATACACAAGGCCCAGAGACAGGTGAAAGGATGCTCAACATCACTAGCCATCAGAGAAATGCAAATTAAAACCACAATGAGATACCACTTCACATCAGTCAGAATGGCCATCATAAAGAAATCAACAAACAAGTGCTAGTGAGGTTCTGGAGAAAAGGGAACCCTAGTACACTGTTGGTGGGAATGTAGACTGGTGCAGCCACTGGAAAACAGTATGGAATTTCCTCAAAAAGCTAAAAATTGCACTGCCTTTTGACCCAGCAATTCCACTGCTGGGATTACACCTTAAGAATCCCAGAACACCAATTCAAAAGAATCTATGCACCTCAGTGTTCATAGCAGCACAATTTACAATAGCCAAGTGCTAGAAGCAACCTAAGTGCCCATTAATAAATGAATGGATCATAAAACTATGGTACATTTACACAATGGAATACTACTCAGTAGAAAGAAAGAGCTTCCACCATTTGCAACAGCATGGATGGAACTAGAGAGCATTAGGCAAAGTGAAATAAGCCAGGGGGTGAAAGACAAATACCATATGATCTCACCTATAAGTAGAACCTAATCAACGAAACAAACAAGAAAGAAAAATATAAACAATGACATTGAAAGACAAAAGCAAACTGATAGTAACAAGAGGAAAGGAGGGAGAGGGTAATGGGGAACGGAAGGGGAAGATCTGTATAAAGGACCCATGGACAAAGCCAAAGTGGGGAAGGATTGACGGTGGGAGGTGGGGGTGGGTGGGGCAGGGGAAAGTGGTGGTGGGGGGGAAATGGAGACAAATGTATCTGAACAATTAAAAAAAAGAAAAGGAACATAAGTCAGGAGAAGCTGTGATTTTTCAGACCCCTGGGACATAGCAAGTTATATTGTATCAGAAAGAGTCAATTAATAAATAAAGTAAATTGGGAACTATGATAGAAGCTAAAAAGAAGAAAAAAGGTCAGATAAGAGTAATCTTATAGGAGGATTAGAGGAATCTGTTATAAAAGAATTAGAAGTTAAATAAAATGGTTTAGTCTTCGTATGGTTCTAGGCAGTAGCCAAGCTTCTCTCTAGTCTCTTGAGAGAGAAAATATATCCCCATGTAAGAGTCAGTCCTATGCTTTTAGGATCAATGGGAGCCCTGAATTAAAATTTAATTTGTGATATCCATTTTCCAACACTCCCACACTGGACTGACATAAGGACCACTTGCTTTGTTCTCTTTTGACTTCTTTGAGAAATAGAAGTTGGTAAAGTATTCTCTCTGGATGTTTTTTACCCCAGGCAGGAGAGAATGCAAATGGTAGAATTGTGTTTTTATAATCTTGTAAACTTCAGAGTTACTGGCTTCTTCCTATAAAATGTGAAGAGAGAAAAGGATACCATATTAGGTTACAAGCAATACTGCTCTCAGAAATACACTCACCTTTCCTCCATCAGCATTATACTCTTTTTCATCGCCTTCCAAGAGTCTAGCTAGTCCAAAATCAGTAATTTTCACATGGTTTGGAGATTTCACTAAGACATTACGTGCTGCCAAATCGCGATGAACAAGCCGTCTTTCTTCCAGATACATCATTCCCTGAAAAACACCAAGTTCCCCAACGATAGTCAGTTAAGGCTTCCTCTTTTCTATTGACTAAAAGGAGTTTCTTAGCATTCCGTTGAAAATGCTCTCATTTCTCTAAATGAAGCAGAATCCTGGAATATTTTTAAAATTAGAGAACACAGGATAAAAAAAAAAAACTTTTGGCCTTTTCTCCCTGAATTCCTATAAAGAAGAATAAATTACCTGCACACAAGCTAAATGTTAGATCATTTTTTTTTTTTTACCAGAGACTTGATATTCCTTAGCTAACACTTTCATTACTGATGTGTGCAGGTGTCTCAGAAGATAAGCTAATGTATATTTGGACTGTTCCACATATTCCTAATTGTTTTCCTCTCAATAACTCATGTGCCACGTCAACTTCCCTTTACACACCCACTCCAAACAAATATACTTATCCTTAATTTTAAAGGGTATTTCACATAAAGATTTAATGGTGCCAAAATCACCACCATTGATTCTATCAAAGCTGAAGAATTATATTACTTTTATTAATTATGCAAAAGTGAAGTACACCCTAGAGTTATTAAAAGCTTACAATTTAAAAAATGCTTTGATGTCATTAGTCATTATAAGAACACACAAGTAAAATTACAGGGTTTTTAAAAAGATTTTATTTATTTATTATTTTTTAGAGAGGGGAAGGGATGGAGAAAGAGAGGGAGAAAAATACCAGTGTATGGTTGTCTCTCAAGCAACCCCCACTGGGGACCTGGCCAGCAACCCTGACATGTGCCCTGACTGGGAATTGAACCAGCAAACCTTGTGTTCCCAGGCCAGCACTCAATCCACTGAGCCACACCAGCCAGGTCAAATTACAGAGATTTTAATGGCCCTCAAACTAGCTTTTAATATGTCATCCTCGTGAAACATACGAGATAATTAAAAATAAGATGTATTGCTGATTGCCAACAAGAAATACAGTTGGCTCTCCATGCAACAAACACATATACCCATGTATGTATATGTATGAGTATATATACATGTATGTGTGTAGGTCTATATATTGTGTTATCTGTGTATATTATGGATAACATATATATTAGTGTCTACACAGATTTTAAAATATTATAGAAGTAATAATTATTTTACCTCAGTAATAAGGACACTACGAGTCAGTAAATACTAGCCTTAACTAAAAGGTTGATATAAAAAAAAGAATATGAACTCAGAGGCTTGGAGTGAATATATTTTGTTTAAATAAACATATTTTTGTTAAAGAGTTAGGGGGGATTCTTTATTTAAGTATTTCAGTGGTGAAAACAAAGTTGTCATTCAACAGCAAATCAGAGTTATTATAAATGGTTAAAGTATACTCTCATGCCAATTGCAAATCAATGCTGTTGGCAGTTAACATTTCAACTGCAGGACTTTGAAGGATTAACGGTTTCTGATATCAAAACAAAAGCTGTGGAAAACAGACATATAAATCACACAGGTCAAAATATTATGAACTATATACGCAGTGTAGTGTAAAGAGAAGATTGCTTCAAAAAGCATCACGAGCCAAACTCTATATAAATGTCCATTAAACACAACCAGTGGAGATAGTGCCAGATATGGTCCAATCAGTCAGCAGCTGGGTGACAACAAACGTATTAGTGTTTTCTGAAATCAACCCATGACTGGGATTTATGGGGGTTTTGCCTTCTTTCCTAAACAGTGCTTTCTATTTGATTATGCCAAATTGGAAATTCTTAGAATAAAGTGAATCTGAAAACATATAGCCCTTAGGTGATTTGAAGGATCAGGAAAAAACAAAAACAAACAAACAAACAAACAAAAAACATATTGCCTAAGTGATTAAGTATCATCATCAATTTTGTCATTCTAAGAAATGGCACAATAACATTCATTATTCTCTTTCTTACTGCCTTCATATTAGAATATGGAAAGTATGTTGACAAGTTAATATTCAGATCCACACACAACCACAGAATACAAATACTATGTGCCTAGCACTATGCTAGACACCAGAGAGGCAAAAAAGTGTTCAAATCTGTGCATTAAAGGAGGAGAGAATGCCCTGGTTGGTGTGGCTCAGTAGTTTGAGCACCAGCCTACAAACCTATGCTGCTTTGATTCCCAGTCAGGGTAAGTGCTTGGGTTGCAGACCAGCTCCTCAGTAGGGGGCGCTCAAGAGGCAATCACACATCCATGTTTCTTTCCCTCTCTTTTTCCCTCCTTTCCCCTCTTTAAAAATAAATAAATAAATAAAATTTTAAAGGAGGACAGAGTTAATTTAATAAAGTTTACAGATGTGGAATACAAACTCAAATCTCAAATCGATCAGGGTAATGCATGTAAGGCATTTAGGCAGAGCTGTATCTTGAGGATAGTTTGTAGTGCAGCTTAGCAAGCTTCAGTGAGAGGGAGGCTTCTGAGAGATACTGAGTCATAAGTAAGGTTTGAATAATATCCACCAACTGGATAAGATGAGGGCAAAACTTCAGATGGAGAGAACAAGTACAGGGGCATCAATAACATGATGTACTAGGACAAAGCCATGTAATTCTGTATTTCTGAAGAACAATGTATAAGCAGGCAGCGGTGAGTGGTCAAACTGAAAAATTAAGAAGATACGTCTAAGAAAGATCGCTTCCATGTCATGGTAGAGAACTGGGCCTTGCATTTTGTGCAGCATTCAATGCAGTGATGCAGAAGTTGTTTTAAAAGAAAGTGAGAAAATTATTTTTGGTATCTTGGTGCCAGTATAGAAGATATATTGGACACAAATATAGCTGAAGTCAGCAGCCACTGCCACAGTCCAGAAGAAAAAGACATGGTAGTGTAAAATAAAGGTTGCTTATTAGCAGTCAATGAGCTACATCCATTTTGCGTGCGTGCACACACACACACACTTACACACACAGTCCCACATTGTATTTTGTAATGTAGGTAGACAATGCTTCCTTTAACTGAACAGCCTAATGGAAATATTATGTATATATTTCTTAAACATGTGCAGGAATAATGATATATACTGTACCAATAGGAAACTAACATTTACCAAGGTTCTGACGACACATTCTACACTATAAGCAAAACTTCAGAAACTCTAAATTTTTTTTGATATTCTATACACAAAAGCTCAGCAGGTGCTATAGTATCCTGAACTTGAATAATATTTGTGCAGGAAAAATATTTTCTCCAAAATAATGGAAACTCAATTTAAAAAAAAAAACACATAATCTCTATACAATTTTCCCCACCCACACTACCATTATTAAAAGAAATAAAAACAGTAGCATCTATGTCATTACCAAACAATCAAAATACACTTATATGGTTGCTTTGTGACTATGAAACATCATTTGACAGATGCACACTTTCAAGCTTTAATTATGAATGTGACCTTTGTTCTACTTTCACACCCTTAAAAAGAGTGTTGAATCATCTGTGGATTGCTAACAACAGGTTTCTCCACATTGTAGTCATTAAGATAGGATTTTCATCCTGGAAGTTCTCATTAGAGTCACATTCTCTGCTAGTTCCTTCTAAACAAAATCACTCCTTAAATCAGAGTGAGATGCAATTAAGGAGGCCGATAGTTGTTAGAAATAGACAAAAACTAACTGATTTCCCTTAAAGTGCTAAGATGGTTAAAGAAGAACCATTCATTATTATAGAAGGATGTTGCATTGGTAGAAAAGAAACCTTTTACCCTGATCTGTAGCAACTCCCATGTCCTTACCATGCCAGCTCCAGTAGAGTGCATTATGGGAATAGTGATTCTGCAATCCCAGCTAACATTGACCAAATACCTAGAACATGGCAGGCATTAACCAAACACTTCTATGTTGGTAGGTTAACAATCTTATGAGGTGCATACTCATACTCATACTCTTACTTATACCCATACTTAAAACCCCATATTAAATATGAGAAAACTGAGGCTAAGAGAGGTCCATGTACACACTCCAAGTCATCTATATAATGAGTGGTAGAACATGGATTTGACTCCTTGCTGTGGAACCATAAGTTTGCACATTTAAGCCAACCTCCTCTCCTGATGGGTCACAGGGTCATGTGGACATATAGAAATGAATGTACACAGTGAAGTCAGATAGCTTTAGAATATTCTAGTACTTTTGCAGAAAAAGATATTACTAGATATTTCTGTAAATTTCAGGGCATAATTCAGGTGATTGAGTTGTTTGTATTTGTAATTAACATACAGATAAATTATATAAGCTTTTGTAATATAACAGAAATTTGAATTATATAAATTGGAAACTCATTTCTTCCTTTGGCCCCAGAGAGTGCAGGAGAGTATAGTGGGTTTGAGTGCAGATTCTGGAGTCAATTACTTGAATGAAAAGTCAACTCTGCCACATTCCAGGTGTGTGACTTGGGCAAAATCTCTACTACTCACCATCCTTCTCCTTGAAACAGCCATACTAGCACCTATCTCACAGGTTTTTGTGAAGATTAAATAGATTAATATATGTAAAGCATTTAAATAGTAACTGGCATGTAGTAACTACAGAACAAGCATATTTTTATTATTGTTCCACAGGTATAAATAGTCCTAGTGCACACATGAATCATTTACCCTCATTAACTTGAATTGCCTATTTCAGCAAATCTATAAACCTCAATATATCACAGTAGGTATCCAATAAATGTTAGCAAATGGTGATACATATATCCATAACATACTCATTGTTATTAATACATAGATTGAAATTTTACAATCCTTACCAAAGTATTATTTTAATAATGATTCATCTGAAGATGTCATCTAAGGAGAAGAAAAATTTAGGAAATCTATTAAAAGATTTGGTTCCCTCTATAAATATGTCACAAGTTCAGGAATTTACCTAAGATATAGTTCATGAACAAGATGTGTCAAAATTTTTCAATGGTAGAGAATGTTTTTCATGAGTGAATAAAATAGACATGTTGTACCAAAATATCTACCATTTATTATTCAGCACCCTAGTGGAATTTTTGGTAGATGCATTTTAGGG